TGGAGGAGAGTCTGGAGGCCGGCGCCATCGGCCTGTCGACCGGCCTGTTCTATCCGCCCTCGACGGCCGCGCCCACCGAGGAGGTGATCGAGCTGGCCAAGGCCCTGCATCAGGCGCGCGCGCTGCACACCACCCACATGCGCGACGAGTCCGACCATATCGCCGCCTCCCTGGAGGAGACCTTCCGCATCGGCCGCGAGGCGGAGATCCCCGTGGTCATCTCCCACCACAAGTGCGCCGGCCAGCCGAACTTCGGGCGCTCGGCCGAGACGCTGGAGCTGATCGACGGCGCACGCGGGCGCCAGCACGTCGGCCTGGACGTCTACCCCTACGTCGCCGGCTCGACGATGCTGGACTCCGGCCGCCTGATGGGGGCCAGCAAGGTGGTGGTCACCTGGTCGCGGCCGCATCCCGAGGCGGCCGGGCGCGATCTGCGCGACATCGCCGCCGACTGGGGCGTCGACCAGCAGGAGGCGGTCTCCCGCCTGACGCCGGCCGGCGGCATCTTCTTCATGATGGACGAGGCCGACGTGCAGCGGATCATGCGCTATCCGCACAGCATGATCGGCTCCGACGGCCTGCCGCACGACTCGCACCCGCACCCGCGCCTCTGGGGCACCTTCCCGCGGGTGCTCGGCCACTACTGCCGCGAGCTGCGGCTCTTCAGCCTGGAGGAGGCGGTGCGCAAGATGACCGGTCTCTCGGCGGCCGAGTTCGGCCTGCGCGACCGGGGCACCCTGGCGGTCGGCAAGGCCGCCGACCTGGTGCTGTTCGATCCGGCGGAGGTGATCGACTCCGCGACCTTCGAGGCGCCCAAGACGCCGGCCCGTGGCATCGTCGAGGTCTGGGTCAATGGCCGCAGCGTCTGGCGCGACGGCGCGGTGACCGGCGAGCGGCCCGGCCGGGCGCTGCGCCTGCAGGGCCTCGACATGCCGAGCGCCGCCTGATGGGCGCGGCCGGCGGCGCGGACGGGAAGACCGGCGCGGCCGGCACCGCGCCGCCGGCCGGCCCGTCTGGCCCGCTCGGCCCGGTCGGCGTCGTGGGCCTGGGCAACATGGGGCTGCCCATGGCCCGCACCCTGGCGGCCAGCGGCCTCGCCGTGACCGGCTTCGACGCCGTGCCGGCGCGGGCAGCCGCCTTCGCGCCGCTGGCCCCCAGCCTGGCGGCGCTGGCGGCGGACAGCCGCGTCCTGCTGCTGTCTCTGCCGACCTCCGCCGTGGTCGAGGCGGTGGTTGCCGAGGCGGCGCCGCACCTGCCGGCCGGCGCGCTGGTGATCGACGGCTCGACGGCCGCGCCGGAGTCCAGCCGGCGGCTGCAGGCCGCGTTGGCCGAACGCGGTCTCGGCTACGTCGATGCGCCGGTCTCCGGCGGCCCGGCCGGTGCGCGCGACGGCCAGCTTCTGGTCATGGCCGGCGGCGCGGCGGCCGACGTCGCGCGCGCCGTGCCGCTGCTCGAACGCCTGGCCCGGCGGGTGGTGCCCTGCGGCGGACCCGGCTGCGGCAACGTCGTCAAGCTGGTCAACAACCTGCTCTGCGCCGCCCACCTGACCCTGGCCGGCGAGGCGCTGGCCCTGGCCGAGGCCGGCGGGGTGGCGCCCGAGGCGCTGCTGGCGGCGCTCAACCGCGGATCGGGGCGCAGCGGCGTCAGCGAGACCAACCTGCCGCGCTGGGTGCTGTCCGGCAGCTTCGACTCCGGCTTCACCATGGGGCTGATGCGCAAGGACGTCGACCTGGCTCTCGAGCTGGCCGACGCCGAGGGCCTGGACCCGGCCTTGGCCCGCGCCACCGCGCGGCTCTGGCGGGAGACGCAGGGCGCCCTGGACGAGAGCGCCGACTTCAACCGCATGGTCCCCTTTGCGCGGGAGCGCAGCCGGTCATGAGCGCCATTCTCGACAAGCATCTCTCCCTCTGGTTCGGCGCGCCGGAGCGCTTCGGCTCGCTGGTCGGCGGCGAAGTCCTGGCGGGGCGGGGCGCGGCGGTCGAGCTGATCGACCCGGCCACGGCGCAGCCGCTCTTCGCCTATCCCGACTGCGCCGAGGCCGGCGCGCTGGACGCGCTGGACGCCGCCGGGCGGGGCCTGGCGGCCTGGCAGGCGGTCACCGCCAGCGCCCGCGGCCGGGTGCTCTGGCGCATGGGCGAACTGGTGCGCCAGCGCGCCGAGAGCCTGGCGATCCTGGAGGCGGTGATCGCCGGCAAGCCGATCCGCGACGCCAAGCTCGAGGTGCTGAAGGTCGCGGAGATGTTCGACTACTACGCCGGCTGGGCCGACAAGCTGCACGGCGAGGTGATCCCCGTCGCGACCAGCCACCTCAACTACACCCGGCGCGAGGCGCTGGGCATCGTCGCCCAGATCACGCCCTGGAACGCCCCGGTCTTCACTGCCGGCTGGCAACTCGCCCCGGCGCTGGCGGCCGGCAACGCGGTGGTGCTCAAGCCCAGCGAGCTGACACCGGTCACCTCAGTGTGCCTCGGCCTGCTGCTGCACGAGGCCGGGGTGCCGGGCGGCACGGTCAACGTGCTCGCCGGGCGCGGCGGCTCGGCCGGCGCCGCGCTGGTCGGCGACCCCCGGGTGGCGAAGACGGTCTTCGTCGGCGCGCCGGCGACCGGCCGGACCATCGCCGAGACGGCGGCGCGCAACCTGCGTCCCTGCCTGCTGGAGCTGGGCGGCAAGTCGGCCAACATCGTCTTTCCCGACGCCGACCTGCGGCGCGCGGCCAAGGGCGTGCAGGCGGCCTGCTTCGCCGCCGCCGGCCAGAGCTGCACTGCCGGCGCGCGCCTGCTGGTCCACCGCAAGGTGGCCGACGCGCTGCTGGCGCTGGTGGCCGAGGGCGCGCGGCGCCTCAAGCTCGGCGTGCCGCTGGACGAGACCACCGAGGTCGGGCCGATCCACAACGCCCGGCAGTTCGTCCGCGTCGCCGAGCTGGTGGAGGCCGGCCGGGCCGCCGGAGCGCAGGTGCTGGCCGGCGGCGGCCGGCCGGAGGAGGCGGGCGCGGGCTACTTCTTCGCGCCGACGGTGCTGGCCGGTGTCGCCCCCGACATGGCGGTGGCGCGCGAGGAGATCTTCGGGCCGGTGCTGTCCTGCCTGACGTTCGACGAGGAGGAGGAGGCGGTGGCGCTGGCCAACGACAGCGCCTTCGACCTGGCCGGCGCGGTCTGGACCGCCGAGGTCGGGCGCGCCCATCGGGTGGCCGCGGCGGTGCGCGCCGGCACCTTCTGGATCAACGGCTACCGCACCCTGTCGGTGATGTCGCCTTTCGGCGGCCAGCACGGCTCCGGCTACGGCCGCTCCAGCGGGCGCGACGGCCTGCTGGAGTACAGCCAGCCGAAGAGCGTCTGGGTGGAGACCGCCGCCGACGCGCCGCAGCCCTTCGGCTATGCCCCCGAATGACCGCCCCGCAGTGATCGCGCCCCCAAATGACCGGGCCCCGAGAATGACCGCCCCCGGACCGCCGCGCCGTCGCCACCCCGCCTGCCTGGGAGAGACCCCGTGATTCAACCGCCGCCCGCCGCGCTCGGCGATCCGCTGGAGCGGGTCGACACGCCGGCCCTGCTGGTCGACCTCGATGCCTTCGAGCGCAACCTGGACCGCATGGCGGCGGAGATCGCCGCGCGGGGCCTGCGCCTGCGGCCGCACGCCAAGACCCACAAGTCGCCGGACGTCGCCAAGGCGCAGATCGCCCGCGGCGCGGTCGGGCAGTGCTGCCAGAAGGTGTCCGAGGCGGAGGTGCTGGTCGATGGCGGCGTCGCCGACGTGCTGGTGACCAACCAGGTGGTCGGCGCGCGCAAGCTGGCGCGTCTGGCCCGCCTGGCGAGCCGCGCGCGCCTCGGGGTCTGCGTCGACCATCCCGACAATCTCGCCGCGCTGGCGGCGGCGGCGGCCGAGGCCGGCGCGCGGGTCGACGTGCTGGTGGAGATCGACGTCGGCGCCCACCGCTGCGGCCTGCGCGATCCGGCGGCGGCCGTGGCGCTGGCGCGGCAGACCGCGGCGGCGGGGCATCTGCGCTTCGCCGGGCTGCAGGCCTATCACGGGGCCGCCCAGCACCTGCGCCGCCCCGAGGAACGGCGGGCGGCAATCGCCGCGGCGGCGGCGCAGACCCGCGCGTGCCTGGAGGCCCTGGCGGCGGCCGGGCTGACTTGCGAGACGGTCGGCGGCGCGGGCACCGGCACCTACGCGCTGGAGGCGGCCGAGGGGATCTGGACGGAGCTGCAGCCCGGCTCCTACTGCTTCATGGATGCCGACTACGGCGCCAACGCCGAGCCGCCGGCCTTCGCCCAGAGCCTGACCGTCCTGACCACGGTGATGAGCCGGCCGGAGCCGGGCTTCGCCGTCTGCGACGCCGGCCTCAAGGCGGTGGCCACGGATTCCGGGCTGCCCCGGCTGGCCAGCCACCCGGACACGGCCCTCGCCGGCGCCTCCGACGAGCACGGCACCATCGCCCTGCCGGCGGGGCTGGACCCGGCGCTCGGCGCGCGCCTGCATCTGATCCCCGGCCACATCGACCCGACGGTCAACCTGCACGACTGGTACGTCTGCCACCGCGGCGGCCGGGTCGAGGCGGTCTGGCCGGTGGCCGCGCGCGGCGCGCTTTTCTAGATTAGGCGGTGATCGTTTGGACCCACAGCGTGGGTCCGCCGATCACGAGAAACCTTCTCTACACCAAAGGGTTAGTGTGGTTTTTTCGCGACCGGCGGACGCGCTGANNGTCCAAACGGTCGCAAATCACTCTAACCCGCCGCGCGACCGGCCCGGGCCGGCGATCGCGGGCCTGGACCGGTGGGGGGGGGCGGCGATCAGGGCCGGAAGCTGAGCAGCTTGAGGCCGAAGCCGATGAAGACCGTGCCGCTCACCCCCTCGATCCAGGGCTTCAGGCGGGCCGGGTCGACGGCGCCGCGCAGGGCGACCAGGCCGCCGGCGGCGGCCGCGCAGTGCGGTCATGCAGTCGACACGGGACAGTCGCCACGGGCGATGCACCGGGGGCGGCTGGCGTGGGGTGCGCCGGCTCAGGCGTCCTCCGACCGATAGGGGCTCCAGTCGGCCAGGGCGGCCAGCTCGCTCTCAACGGCGCGGCCCTCGCGGCGCAGGAAGTCGGCCACGGCATCGCGGAAGCCGGGGTCGGGGATCAGGTGCGCGGAGTAGGTCTCGACCGGCAGGTAGCCGCGCTGGATCTTGTGCTCGCCCTGGGCGCCGGCCTCGACCCGCTGCAGGCCCCGCGCGATGGCGAAGTCGATGGCCTGGTAGTAGCAGGCCTCGAAATGCAGGAAGCGGTAGTCGGCCGCGCAGCCCCAGTTGCGGCCGTAGAGCGCGTCCCGGCCCATCAGGTTGAGGGCGCCGGCCACCACCTCGTCGCCGTCCTCGGCGACGATCAGGACGACCCGCTCGGCCAGGCGCTCGCCGAGCAGGAAGAAGAAGTCGCGCGTCAGGTAGGGGCGCGCCCACTTCTTGTCGACCGTGTCCAGGTAGAAGCGGTGGAAGGCGTCCCAGTGCCGCTCGGCGATGTCGGCGCCGACCAGGGCGCGTAGCTTCAGCCCGCTCTCGGCCACCTTGCGCCGTTCCTTCCTGATTGCCTTGCGTTTGCGGCTGACCAGGGTGGCCAGGAAGTCGTCGAAGCTGGCGTAGCCGCGGTTGTGCCAGTGGTACTGCAGCCCCCGGCGTTGCAGGAAGCCCGCCCGGCCCAGCCGCTCCCAGGCCTCGCGCTCGGGAAAGGTGACGTGCAGGGAGGAGACCTCGTGCCGCCGGGTCAGCTCCGCCAGCCCGCCGATCAGCGCCTCGCAGACGCCGGCGCGCTCGGCCTCGGGGTGGCTGAGCAGGCGCGGGCCGGTCACCGGCGTGAAGGGCACGGAGGACTGAAGCTTGGGGTAGTAGCGCCCGCCGGCCCGCTCGTAGGCGTCGGCCCAGCCCCAGTCGAAAACGTACTCGCCGTAGGAATGGCCCTTGAGGTAGAGCGGCACGGCGCCCAGCAGCCGGCCGCCGGGCCCCTCCAGCAGCAGGTGCTGCGGCAGCCAGCCACGCTCGGCCGTGGCCGAACCGGACTCCTCCAGAGCCGAGAGGAAGGCATGGCTGACGAAGGGGTTGGCGTCGCCGGCACAGGCGTCCCAGGCGGCGGCCGGCACCTCCTTGAGGGAGGCGACCACGCGCAGGCTGAGGCTTTCGGCACCGTCGGGCATGGCTGGAGTGTAGGTGCGCGGTCCGCGCTGGCAAGGCAAGCCTGCGTGACCGGGGCCGGCGTCAGGCCCGAACGACAAGCGGCCGCAGCCCGCCTGCGGGCTGCGGCCGTCTCGCGCTCCGCGCCGGGGGCGCGTTTGCCGCGGCGCGGAGGAAGCGGGTGGGTCTAGAGTGATTTGCGACCGTTTGGAGGCGCGTCAGCGCGTCCGCCGGTCGCGAAAAATCACTCCAACTCTTTGGTGTAGGGCAGGTTTCTTGTGATCGCGGACCCACGCTGTGGGGCCAAACGATCACAATCTGCGCTAGGGTTAGACCGGGTCGCCGGCCACCAGGACGACGCGGCGGTTGAGGCGGTTACGCTCGCCCTCGCCGGTCTCGACCAGCGGCTCGGTCTCGCCGAACCAGGCCTGGCCGATCTTGTCGGTCTCGACGCCGTGCGCCTTGAGGGCCGCCGCGACGGCCTCGGCGCGATCCTCGGACAGCTCGGCGTTGTAGGCGTCGGTGTCGACCGTGTCGGTGTGGCCGTAGACCTCGACGTTCTGCAGCTCGGCCTCCTGTACCAGGTCGGCGAAGCGGTCGATCTTCTGCTGCGCCTTGGCCGTGAGCTGCGCGGAATCGAAGTTGAAGGTCACCATCTGGCGCACGCTCTCCGGCTCGAACTCGCGCACGACCACATTGGTCTGGCCGTCCTGCTCCGCCTGGCGGCGCTCTTGGTCGCTGAACACGAAGACCGGATGCGGCGAGGTCTTGCCCATCTTGTCCTGGCCTTCGAACTTGGCCTCCGTCTCGTGGTTGGATTGACGCACGTCTTCGCGATCCACCATCGGCTCGTCGGAGGTGGTCGACATGCCCTGGCGTGCCTCGCCGGCGAGCGCGGTGCCGCCGACGGCGGTCATGGTGGCCAGGGCGGTGGTCAGGATCAGGCTGCGTTTCATCAGTCTCCTCCTTTCGCGGCGGCGGCTTGCCGCCATCTCACCCCGACCAACGGGCCCCCTGGCCCTGCCGTTCCTCTGGAAGACCCGGAAAAATTCGCGGAACATACGGAGTTTCAATGCGTTAGCGCGCGGCTGTCTCGCGCGCTGCGGGCCCGCGGGCGGCCTCGGACAGCCGCCAGGCCCAGACCGCCAGCGGGGCGTCGCGGCCGCGCAGCGCGACCTCGCCGTGACGGTAGAAGCCCAGCGGGATGCCGCCGGTCGCGCCGGCCCGCTCGATCGCCGCCTCCGAGGCGACGATGCCGGCGCCGAGCTGGCGGGTCAGCCCCTCCAGCCGGCTGGCGACGTTGACCGTGTCGCCCAGCACGGTGAACTCGAAGCGGCTCTCGCCCCCGATGTCGCCGACGATGACCGGTCCGTGGTGGAGGCCGACGGCGATCTCCAGGGGCGGCTGGCCGGCCGCGGCCAGCTCCTGCGCCCAGGCGGCGACGCTGGTCTGCAGCGCCACGGCGGCGGCCAGCGCGCGGGCCGCCTCGTCCGGCTGCGGGTCGGGCACGCCGAAGACGGCCAGCGCGCCGTCGCCGAGGTACTTGTCGAGCGTGCCGCCCTGGGCGAAGACCGCCCGCTCGACCCGGGCATGGAAGCCGCGCAGCAGCGCGATGGCCTGGTCGCTCGGCAGGCGCTCGCAAAGGCGCGTGAAGCCCAGGATGTCGACGAAGAGCACGCTGGCCGGCTGGCTGGCGGTCAGGTCGTAGGGCGCGCTCTGGGCCGCCAGCCGCTCGGCGACCGCCGGCGAGAAGTAGCGCGAGAGGTTCTGGCGCTCGCGCGCCACGGCCTCGCGCCGGCGTTGCTCGGCCCGGCTGCGGGCCAGCGCGCCCCAGCTCGCGCCCAGCACGACGGCGGCCAGCGGCACCGCGACGGCCAGCCAGAGCTGCCACCAGACGAAGGCGCCGTAGGTCAGGCCGGCCCAG